AAAGGAAGAAGAGAGAGAGAGAGAGAGAGGGAGAGAAAAAGAAAGAAAGAAAGAAAATAAGTTTTAGAAATGAAATTGAAAGAATTGTAAACGGTGTAAAACTAAGTTTTTTTTTTTTCTCTTAATAAATAATCAATGATTAATTCTTTCGATCTATTATCATTTATAATGGATCGATTCGGGAAAGAATTATTGTGTCGATCTAAATGGATTAATTCGAACTTGTTAATTTCATATCTATTCATTAATTAAACCAATACTACCAGCAGACATTATTATCACAATATCCATCCATTCTATAATCACCTTCTTAATGGTTGTATAGATTTGAAGATAGAAGTTGATATACTTGTTAAATAATTAAAGATCAAATTTAAAATTGAAGTAAATTAGAAAAGATATGGAAAATTTTTGTCATCGATCAATGAAAATCCAGTAAAATTGAAAGGATCAAGCAATTAATTGGTAGCATTAATTAATCCAAATAATTTAATGGTTAACATTATGATCTTCTTTTTTTTTGTCTTCTGAAAATATTCGAGAATTTCAATACTTCTCCTTTATTTTCTGGAATATTCGAGAATTTCAATAACAAACTCAAATGGCAAATTATTCTTTGGAAACGTTAATATAATCGTCTCTGATGAAAATATTTATTGTCAAATTTAAAGAAATTTATTTTTTTTTCTTTTGCAAAGAGAGGGACAAATTTACTTCCATTTACTCTAATAAAACTTTTACTTTGGCTAGAAATTTTTAACATTAAAGTTTAAACGACAAGTATAAAAAAAAAAAAAATTTCATACTAATTGTAGCAATAATGATGAATACTTCTCACGTACGTTTACATTTTGTCACGTTTTTGTTTTTTTTCACGTCTTTAGTTTTTTTTTTTTTTTCAACTATCAGATGATAAATCAATCATGTTGATTCATTTTGATTAAATCATTTCATAGAAATTTTACAACGTACGCTAATCTGTGATAGCATTTACTGAAATATTAAATTTTTGTAATGAAAAATAAAAATGAAAGATAATATTTTTCATTTTTTTAGAAAATAAACTTTCCGAATTGTTCTTTCAAAAAAA